CTCATGTTCAAGCCGATAAAGGAAAGTTTTGTTGTGGATTGGCATGAGTTTTTGATCGGAATGAGAATGAATTCGTTGTTCGTCCAGACAAACGCGCGATTGAGCATATGAAGCTGGTGCTGAAGAAAGTCATAGGAATATTGATAACTAATTGATTTTGATTAAGTTTTTAAAAAAAGATAGAAAATTTCAATGATCTACTGGGTAGGTTCCTCAGTTTGCGAATTCAGACACGAAATTAATATCCTCTTTTGAATGAAAATAGCTGAGACTCAAATTTTCAAGTAAATTAAGTTCATTGTTGCTTATTACTTCTCCGTTATATTTTTTTATGTTTAAATTTCACCAGTTTTTTACGGGTTAGAAAATCAACAAATATTACGTTGTTGTCGACCTATTCACAGTAACTTGGGCAATAAACATTGCCAGAACTACACATATATCTGTGTTTTTGATGATCGAACAAGTATGCTTAACCTCTTCAACCAGGATCTAGCGGAAAGAAGTTTTCTTTTGTCACGGTCTCGAACCCGTTCTCCGTTGAAAAACCCGTTTCAGTATCTGCCTCGTTGGGATTGGAGCCTCGTTTAGGAAAAATAGTAAGTGGGACAGTCTACCGTACTCTATTTTCGGAGCAAATGGTGTATCACACAAACTGCTTGTAGTATTGATCGGAAATCCCAGCTACATACTTTTATATATGACGACCACGGACATTGAACCAATTATTAAAGTGATTAGCGCATGTATGCCATGCCTCGTCTAGCTTCAATAAATTCAGAGAAAACCCGCCATTTTAACTTTCTTAAAATGTAGTATTTCGCATTTTATCATTCTATGCGGAAATATCAACTTCGTCACGAAATAATTAAGGAAAGCAACAAGGTTCTATTGCTACTTCAGACCGTTTTCACAAACACAAATAGTACTGGTTATTATATTAGTATGCCACGTGAGTATTGGTGGCTCATTAGATCGTTGGGAGGACTGCTATGGTATCACACGAGAAACTAGAAGTCTGTTGGACAGAACTCGGAAAGATTTATTCAGGACTGATAGCTTAGATTGTTTTCTTCTAATTACTGTAATGACATTACAAAGAATTCAAACATCAGCTGTCCGATCCTCAGTAAACTTTCAAAAATCTATGCCCCACTGAAATGGGCCTCATAAAAGGAAATTCAGCCCTCTACAACATCTGAATTGAAAATAAAAAAAGTCAAAATATTGTTGTCAATCATTGTTTTATATCACTAGCAGTAGTGAAAAAATTGATTTGGAAATTCTCTATAACAGAAGAATTATCCACGAATCAGTGTATAGCATTTTTTGTATCGAAAACAAAGACTATCGAAAAGGTGCTTATGTATTAACAGCTGTTTCCCATGGAAATGCATGTCGTAAACGATTTCATATAACTGTAAATATTAATGTGCCGAAAATAGGACTCAAATATACATACCTTCATTGGTGATACTTGGTAATCGGTGAAAAACTACTTTTTGTATTTCTTCCACTTCTTCTGGTAAAATAATAGATAGTTTGTTGATAGGTGTATTCGCCTGGTGATTCTGAAAAATGCTGCAATTTGAAAAGAAAAGTTGACACATAATATATTCGAATCTTTGAGCTAAGTTTCCAACAGTCGTCTTATCGAACGAATCATGAGAGCACATAAATTTAGATGACAATCTACCATTATTCATTGTCGGGTCGTAAATAAATGCAAACAAAAAATCAAATTTGGCCACTTCGAATGACCGCTGCAATGGTACTATGCTCAAAGATTTACCGCCTAACGACAATTGATCGACACCCGAGGAAGCCGTTACAAAGTCAAACACTGTTTCAAGAAAAGGCACATTTGATTGATTCAGATGAAAATCAGCAAGAATATGTTGCAACGGGTAGTTTGTGTGCGAAAGAATTGCCAGGCATTTTTCTTGGACATGTTTCACGAGTTCATCAAATGTCCAACAACGATCCAACTCAATCCGATACGGTAATGTTGAGACGAACATTCCTATCACATTTTGTAACTCATTTCTGTATCGATTTGCATTGAGTGATGCAATGCATAGATCATTTTGTCCATGAGTTAGTTTGAATAGAAATGCATAAAAGATGGCTAATCCCAACTGGAATGGTGTGACGTGATGTGAAGAAGCATAGTTTAGAAATGATGTCGCAACATCGTTGTCAAAAGTGATTTCGACTATAGAAGCCAAGCCCGATCGCTGGTCGGTAACTGCACGTTGTCGATCGATTGGCAACAATAATGGGCTCTGTAAGTTGTATCCTTGAAACTGTGATTGCCAGAAGTCTCGCGATAACGACATATCCATTTGACGCTCATAAACAGAATAATCCATGTATTGTATCGTCTCATCATGATCAGCGGACAGCAAATCATCACTTCCGTATGCAACTGACAAATCAGTAAGAAAAGTAGAAAACGAAGCTCCATCGAATACTGAGTGATGAATGTTAAACAGAATAGAGTCGTTTTCAATCAACAGATCATCATTTCGAGATGAGAAGTCCTCGTTTTCGTCGCGACATCGACGAAAAACATGACATTGGATGACACGACCTTTCGACAAATCGAATAAGTTTGCATCGTTCAAGATTTCATTCATTGTTTTTGCAACTGCAAGATCATCGTCGCCATTGTTATTTTCCACATTTATCACCGAGAATCCAAATGGTTTCGTGTCATCAGTAATTATATTCGTATCTAAACAGCGTTGCACAACAATGCCATCTGCATTAACGTAAAGTGCTGTGCGAAGAACATTGTGTTTGATGAGAACAGAGTGGAATGCACGGCATAAGCGAGAAACCGACAGAGGATTAGTGGAAGATGATATACGATAGAGCATCGGAATCACATACATAGTATAGTCATTTTTGGTCGAGAACCGAATTTGTTCATCTAGGAAGATTCGTTCTTGTGCAAACGACGCGCGAGCTGCAAATGAATGACAGAATCTAATGAGTGAAGAATTCTGAGAAAGTTCTGTTTTTTACCTTCGACAAGATGTAATGGAGACCAAGTGCCATTGTCAATGTTATGTGTAATGTCAATGGCTTTGCGAATCAGTTGAGCATGACCGAGAATTGTTGGATGCTGGAAGAGATCACTGATGGAATATGCATTGCCTTCCGTATGAAATTCGATCTTATATCGATGAAAGAGTTGCATGATAAGTAGTGAATGACCACCAATGGAAAAGATATTTGTGTCGATGGAAATTTGGGTTTGGTGCAAAATATCGCACCAAATGTGATGAATAGTGGTTTCGATTTCGTTTCTTGGTACCAATAATCGAGCAGTGGTTTCAAGAGTCGTGGATGAAACATTGGAGAAGTCAGGTGATGGAAGTTGCTTTCGATCGATCTTTCCATTGGAGTTCAAAGGCAGCTTTTCAAGCACAATAAACTTCGACGGAATCATGTGAGGTGGTAGGTGAGATTGACAATGTTCACGTAGTTGTTTTTCATCAACATTAGAACTTTGAACATAGGCCACCAGATGATCATCGTTCCATTTCACAACAACACAAGCGGAAACGGATGATTGGAGCAAACATTGTTCGATTTCTCCCAATTCAATACGCTGTCCATGTAGTTTGATTTGGTGATCTTTTCGACCCTTATAATGAAGAAGACCATTTTTATCCATTCGAACAAGATCACCTGTTCGATAAAACAACTCGTTGTCAATTTGTACCAATGCTTTAGCAGTTAAGTCATCACGTGTAAGATAGCCTGCAAAAACACCAACTCCTCCTACCAACAATTCGCCTTCTTCGTCTATAATAACAGATTGTTCAAACCGATTTCTGATTACACACTGATAGTTCATGAACGGTCTGCCTATTGGAACATTGATGGTATTTGAGCGTATATCTATTTTTTGACACGTAGCACCTAATGTGGTTTCAGAAGGTCCATAACAATTCCAGATGCAGCAGTTTTCCGTAATAATATCAGAGAATAATTGAACTGAATTTTTCGAAAGAGCTTCACCTATTTGTAATAAAAATTCAAAGCTGTCTCTTAGTACTATTGTCACATTGGTTTACTAACCGGTAGAACAAAGTGTGTGTATGGTTGTCAGGGGAGGAACTTTATTTTGACGGACATAAGCGCACAAGCTATCAAGGAGGCTTGGTACAGCAAGAGCGTATGAGATCTGTTTGTCTCTTATAGTTTGCAGCAAGTAAGCCATATCCATATGACCATCCAAATGTAGCATAATCACAGAGGAGCCAATCATCAATGCTCCCAGAATCTCTTCAATATGTGGATCAAATGTGCAGGCTGCTATTTGTCCTATATTGTCGCGACTGTTTAGCACACCCATGTATACATGAGAACGTATGCATTGCGTGAAATTACGATGTCGCACTTGGACCTAAAACACAAGGACAATAATAACATTAGTTTATTTTCAGAACCTTCAACCAACTCCTTTCGGAACGCCCGTTGAACCACTGGTAAAAACAATATAAGAAACATGCTCCAGTGTAACGGGTACATCTGAAAGCATTTCTAAATCGTTGTGGTCTATTTTACATTGAGTGTCCATTTCAACATCAATATCTATTGTTTCATCAGAATCATTAAAATAATTCTTAGTAAGACTATGAGTAAGAATCACACGACTGTTAGTTCGCTTGATAATGTCCTGAAGACGCGCTTTTGGGTCTCGCGGTGATAATGAACAATAAGCGCCGCCAATCATTTCAGTTGCCACCATACCAATCATCTAACAAATAGGAACATTCATGATGTGCAAACAATTAGCTGTTACATCGTCTTACCATTGATAAACTTCTCTCGACACATTGACAAATAATTTCGCCTGGAACGATCTTGTGCTTGTTCACTAGATTCAGCGACAACACTTGAGTGTAATATAAAAGTTCAGAATATGTGAGTGATTGATCGTCGAGTTCAACAGCTAATTTTTGTGAATATTTCATAACCTGAGAAATAAATTCATGGTGTACACAGGCGATTGAAGGAAACGCCCAGTG